GAAGAGGAAGAGGAAGAGGAAGAAGAAGAAGAAGAAGAAGAAGAAGAAGAAGAAGAAGAAGAAGAAGAAGAAGAAGAAGAAGAATCAAGCCTTGACTTGCAATACTGAAAGATTTTACAGGTAAAATACTGAATGGTGCAGAAAGCATCATAAAAAGACGGAAGGAATACAAAGAGACACTGTATAAAAAAGAAATGAGCAGATGTTTAACCGTTTCAAGAAACAGCATATGATCAGGATCCAATGGAACTAAAAGAAACATTCCAAGGTACACTGAAAGCACTGGCAAAGAACAATGCTCTAGGAACTGATGGAATAGTAACTGAAATCTTTAAACAAATTAATACAGCAGTGGAGGCACTGACTCAATTATGACAAGAAATTTGAAAGAGAAATGCAGGTAACACAACAGAACATGAAATCATCAGGCAATATCATTAATATCACATGCAAGTACAATTTTGCAAAAAATAATTAAAACATTGCTGCAATAATATATTGACAGGGAACTTCCAGAAGTTTATGCCAGATTCAGATGAGAACGTGGAATGAGGGATATCAATGATGACATCAGATATTTTGGTTGAAAGCAGAAATTACTGCACAGATGTTTACCTGTGCTTTATTGACTGTGCAAAGGCTTTCAACAGTGTGGATCATGACAAGTTATGGACAACATTGCAGAGAATGAGTATCCAGAACACTTAATTGTGCTTATGAAGAACCTGTACATACACCAAGAGAGGCAGTCATTCGAACAGAATGGGAATACTGAATGATTTAAAGTTAGGAAAAGTGTGTGCCACAGTTGTATTCTTTCACCATACTTATTTAATCAGTATGTTATGCAAATAATCTAAAATGTTGGATTATATGCAGATTTGGCATCAGGATTGAAGGAAGACTCACTAACAACCTGCAATATGCAGACGATACATACAACCTTACTTGCTGGAAGTGAAGAGGATTCAAAAGACCTAGACTTCAAGTATGGGTTGAAACTCAATGTAAAGAAAACAAAAATTCTCACCACTGGGTCAAGAAATGTTAAATGCTGTCAAGTTGATTCTGACTCATGGTAATCCTGTTTGCCACTAGCCAAACAGCTGAATTTGGTAACAGTTTATTAAATTTAGACTTATGAATTTGCTGAACTTTCATCTTCCAATATACATTGTAGGGAATAAAGGATTGAAAAGTAGCTAACTGTTAAGTGTCAAAGAGGCAAGACGCCATAGTCTGGAACCACTCTGCTCATTCCATATGTCAACTTAATTAACATCCAGGTGGTTGGAAAATCCGACTCATAAATTAGTCTGATGGCCATCTTTTGATATAATTTCTGAAAAATCTGTTCATTAAGAAATTAAAAAAACCCAAAACATTATTTAAAGACAGTTGCAAATTCTATTTGCTTACCTGAATGATACAATGATACTGACACTCATCTTTGATATTTAATTGCATCTTAAATAAAAGAATCCACAATAGGCATTTTTAAATAACTTAGTTATATCAGAAAGCTATTCACCATTATGAAAAACTACAGAATAGATTTTAGTAAAAAAGCAAGGGTCTTGAAAGTTCCTGATAATTAATACATTACTTCGAAAATTCCTTTGATAAGTATTCAAATACTGACCACAAGTCAAAAAATAGAACACTACTTTAATATTAACCAGTGTAAGATTTATTTAAAAGTCACAAACAATATGATGAAACATGAATGTACACAAATTTCATAGAATAATCGCTGCTTGTTCTAAATCAACCTGATCCATTCTGCACAATGAAATACGATTTATAAAAATTATATGAAGTATAGTGTAAAAATATAAGACACATGGTGTTTGTATAAAAGAAATAGAAAATATCACTGTAAAAGATCTGTTAACCCCACGAAAACTTTAAGCAGACATTTGAAATATCATGTCTTATGCTTACTATATATATATTTGTTAAGATTATGCAGCAGGTCTTTGAATGGACAGTAGAAATGAAGAGTTTATATAGGTAAGCTTCTTAACTGCTATTTGTTTTCTTTTCTATATAAAATGTCATATATCATTACAAGAAACAATATGTATCTGCTCCATTTCTAAATATAAGGCAGAAAAATTACGGTTTTAGTAATAACTTTTAAACCTTTTTTAAGTTAGTATATTAAAATTAACATAAAAGAAACTGAATAAAACAACTTTTACATGAATGGATGAATATAATTAAAAAATGAAGCAACTGCCTTTTACTTCAAAAGAGTTGTGGGCTAAGGACCCCATGTCAGAAAAAACACAACTAAGAACACACAGGCTTTTAAAAAATATTAATATAGAGCAGAAGAACATACTTTCAAATTTATTCTTGAGCAGAAAAATGTAATTATATACCATATATTGGTTATGTTGAAAGAATACAGTCCATATGCAGATAAGAAGCTGAAGTGCAATAAAAGTAAGTTGATTACTTAAAGTATATTCACTGTTTTGACTGAATACAAACAAGTACAATTTTTAAATGGTTATTAATTATGTTGCTGTTTTTATGTGCCATCGAATGGGTTCCAACTCATAGCAACCCGGATAGCATTTCCAAGGAGCACCTGGAGAGGCTGAATTGCCAAGTGCAGTTCAAACTGAATTTGCAGTCCACTGTTTATCCTACAGCTCCACACCAGGACTCCTTTAGAATTATAGATCCTACATAATCTTTACTGATAAGCTGTGGATAACAAAGAAAAAGCATTAATGTTTTATTTTCTTCTTGGGAGAACTACAGATGTATCTCTCATGTAAGTAAAAAGCAGTGAAGCAATATTAAACACTGCTAGAATCTGTAGTTTTTGGTTTTATAAAGTGCTAGCTCTGGTAGCGTAGTGGTTACAAACCGGGCTGTGAACCGCGACGTCTGCAGTTTGAAACTACCAGCTGTTCCGTGGGAGAAAGATGAGGCTTTCTGCTCCATAAAGATTGACAGCCTTGGAAACCCTGTACAGGGTCGCTATGAGTCGGAACCGACTCCATGGCACATAACCAACCAACCAACATAGTATGTCACATTAAAAGTTTTGAAAATAAAAACTCCAACTCTCGCCATTAGAACAATAAACTATCAAGGATCATCCAGAAGAAAAAAACACAAATATCTCCTCTGGATTACATCAAATGAGAGACAAAGATGAGACAGGCAGTTTTAGAGAGAGAGCAGGCCACGCTTCTCGTTTTATACTTAAGGCATTAGTGACAAAGAGGTTAAATGAATTACTTGCAAGCTTCTTATATGGACATGATCTTGCTTGACTGGTGCCTTGATCAATTCTTTTCCTGATTGTCTCATCTTGTTTTCTAGAAACCTCCTGACTGTCCATGATAATAAATGAGGAAACAGAGATGGAAAAGACAAATCCTATGATAAAAAATACTATGTTTTGTTTTGAAATAGAATCAAAGTTTATAAGCTTTGTAAATGAAGTTTTTGTACAATTAAAAATTTTTATTATACAATAAAAAATAATACTTGTGTCCTTCTTTTTTTTTAAAGATAAAGAGCATCATTCACTTCATCTGGAATCAAGTTTGTCTTCAGTAACAGACATGTTGACAGAGAGAAGGGAGGAAACAGTTGGAAATGGAAACCACTATCATCTATTCCAACAAAGAAGCTCTAGAAAACCAACCTTTTCGATACTTATTAATGTAAGAGCTCTGGGACTCATTTTCCTTATCTTATGTTTATAGTGTTTTCAAGCCTATTGTGTCTTTGTTTATTTAGTTAAGGAGTCATGACTTTTTCAGGGTGAACTCCTGCCTACCAAGTAGAGATACTCAATTGAAACACACATTTACTTTATGTTCCTACCCTCATACTCTCAGTCTGCCTGCCAAGGTTAACAGCCTATGAAACAGTCTGCAAAGTTGAGAAGTATACTTGCAAATAACTGAGAGCTGATTGTAAATTCAATCCAATTAAAAAACCGATCTTTTATAAATAGCCATAGTTGTTGATTTGCTGTATCCCTCTATCTTCTTCGATTTCGTTGTGAAGCTCTTTCGAAATACATGAAATCCTGAAATTGGAAAAAGGATTATTTATATACATATATATACACACACACACATATATATTGTTATGAAGTGCTGTCAAGTCGGACTCTGTATAGGATTTCCAAGGAACAGCTGGTAAGCTTGAACCTCCGACTTTGCAGTCTGGCGCATTAACCCACTCTATCTATCTATCAATTATTAAGTACCTCAATTTGTTTTATTTTCTTAACAGTAATATTTTTACAAGATAGCCAGAATAAAATAATTTTTAAAGAGAAAGCATATGTAAATAATTATTAATTTTAAAAAGAACACATTTTGATACTGTCCTGTTTTTATATAAATGAAAATACTATACTAGAATATATTTTGTTGTTGTTGTTTAGTGCCATTGAGTCTGTTCTGACTCAAAGCGACCCTGTATAGGATTTCTGAGGAGCAACTGGTGGATATGAACCACTGACCTTGCAGTTAGCAGTCCAGTGTTCATTCTACAGCATCTCACCAGCATTCTAAAATATATTTGTTGTTGTTGTTGTTAAGTGCCATTGAGTAGGTTCCGACCCATAGCGACCCTGTACAGGGTTTCCGAGGCTGTAAATCTTACGGGAGCAGAAAGCCTCATCTTTCTCCAGCGGAGAGGCTGGTAGTTTCAAACTGCTGCCCTTAATGTTTGCAGCCCGATTCGTAACCATTACGCTACCAGAGCTCCTTAAATTATATTTTAGCGATGTTGAAATTTATACTAATATTTAAATGGAAGCAATTTATGTGTTAATAATTTATAAGGCAGAGCAGTACTACAGGAACGAAAAGTCTTTTCATCATTGTTGTTGTTAAGTGCCATGGAATCAGTTCTGACCCAAAGTGACCCTATACAGGGTTTCTGAGGAGATGGTGAGCTTGAACTGCCAACTTTGCAGTTCAAACTCACTTTGCAGCCCAGCACATTTACCTACAACGTCACACCAGGATTTCTTTTCATCATTAGTATTATATAATGTATGTAGTATTATAATATTTTATAAACTACAAAAGCAATACTGAGAATATTATCATTTTAATTTATCAGGCAATTCACAGACATTATAGGTAACATTCATAACTCTGAAAAGTAAGTGTCTTCATCTCCATTGAACAGATGAGAAAACAGGCTTGGATATAAACCTGTTCTGCAGAAGTCATGTCAGGAGGTGCTGCAATTCCAAAATGAACTCCCTTTCCACTGTACTACTCTGCTTCTTATCAGAAAGAATCCTACATTCATGATAACTTAAAAAGGAAATGCTTACAATGAGGAAGCAAGCTCCGAAGATCATGGCTTTCATTTTTACATCCAGGTCTAATGGGAAGTGAATATCGAAGTGGTCAGCATCTGCCATTGCTGATAACAAACCATTCCACTTCCTAGTGATATCACCAATGTTAGACACACCATCAGGAGATTTGATCTAGAAAGACAAAAGGTGACATTATGATGATAAAAAGCTATTAAAATTTACTTGTGTATCCAGAAATAGTTTTCAAGTGAAACAGCATCAAGGGAATTCAGGAAAAGGATACATGATTCCAGAATTTCACACAACCTAACTGATGACTATGAAGAGTTAATTGACTTTCAATTGGTGAATACCTGAGCTGGTTATATTCAGTGCCCTCTCTAGACAGGTACTGGTGATGCAGACCACACCTGGTAACAATGTCAGATGGGGTGATATCAACATGACTGTCTATAAAAGTTGTGTGTTGTGTTAAATTTATTTACTTTTTGAACCTTCTAATGCTCTCCAGGAGTCCTGGGGTATTACTGTGGGATAAAGCACTGAACCGCAATATCGATGTGAACTGCAGAGTTGGCAATTCAAATTCACCAGCCGCTCCTTGGAAACCCTAGAAGCATTGCTATGAGTCAGAACCAAGTCCAAGACACTTAACAACAACAACAATGCTCTCCTGGTGTGGTGTGGAAGAATAAGCACTGGACTGCTAACTGCACTTAACAACTAACTGTAAGGTTGACAGTTCAAATTCATCAGCTGCTCCTTGGAAACTCAGAACCGACTCAAGGGCACTTAACAACAACAATGCACTCCAGTCAAAGGTGTTATTATTACTCAATTACAATGACACTTGGAATCATGTGATTTTGTGTGTAAAAGCTACAAGCACAGAAGCACAGTTTATTTTGTTCCTGCTGTCATTTAAATAATTGCTGATTTTGTCACATTTTCTCTCATTTTAGCTACAATACTGTGGTAACTAGGATTTGTAAACCTGATATAGCGTTTTTTATGAGAATGAAGTAGAGATTTAAAAACTAGAAAAAAGAAGAAAAATTTAAGGTTTCAGCTCCTAGTAATGTTGTACCCAATAATATAATTCAGGATCTTACAAAGCAATTTGGTTGTTAGTATTCATATAATCTGGAATACTCATACTTCTCAGTGTTGTCCATAGCTTGTCATGATCCA